TTTTATCAATAATACTTTATATGTATTATAATGTTAATAATAAAACATGTTTTTTTCAAAAATAAGTGTTATGAGTAATAAAATATTACTCTAATATATATTTAAATATTGAGAATATTGCACTGTAAAATATTCTATTGCAATTATTGTTTTATATTTATTGTAAATTCATAATAATATTTGTATTATAAGATGCAATAAAAAAATCGTATGTTTAAATTAATATAATTTGAATATGTTTATATTAGTAAAAAATGGTTAAACATTTGAATTATTAATATTACTATTCGAATTATATTCTTTTCGTTTATACTTGTATGATATTTAAATGATTATTAAATTTTTTATGTAATTTATTATTATAAAAATATTTGTTCTTATATATATATATATTTTCAAAGAAAATTAAATTAGAAAATATTATTTTTCTTTATTAGTACAAAATATTATCAAGTGTAAAATTATTTATTATTGTCATTAATTTACTTTTTCTGTGCAATATATAGAGATTTTCTATATCACAGTATGCAATATATTAATATTTATTTTAAATGCTTAAACTAGCATCTTGTTTATTTATCTATTTTTATAGAAAAATTTTTGCTCTCTGCTTATATAGTGGCAAGATTTCAATTTCTATTACATTAGAAAACATTTAGCAAAAAAATAAATATATGAAAACTAATTATAATAAGATGTATAGAAAATATTCCATAAAATAGCAGCTGTCATAAGTACAGTATATGTAATAATACTGGCCCACCACACAACTTTTTCCCATGTTTTAACTTCAAGATTACGAAGTACATTTATACCTACAAGTAAGCCTGCAATGGCACCAGCAAAATGAGCAACATATCCAACTTGGTCGTTGGTTTCTAATACATAACGATTATATATTGCTTGACTAACGTCAACAACCGTTACGACAAGGAATACTAATAATTGTAAAACAGCAAATTCCATTTGCGACCAGTTCATTAAAATGGTTGCCACGTGAGCAGTAATTAATGCATATACACCACCTGATGCTCCTGCTAAATATACTGTAGGATCTGATACAGATGTACCAAGAGATCCTGCTAAAACGCCCGCTACATATATAATTAATACTCTCCACCATTTGTGCACCATTTCCAATGGAATACCTAACATTATTTGCACAAGTAAGTTTACCACTAGATGAAATACCCTGTATAAAAAAAAATCTTTAATTTCTTAATCATATAAAAATAGTTACATTCAATGATAAAAAACAAATACACACCCCACATGTACAAACATATATGTTAAATATCTCCATGCTTCATATCTTTTGTGTGGATTATAAATAAATAATGTAGCTGCTGGTCCTTCAACAGAAGGTGATTTATATACAATTACATCATATAAAAATAAAATAATTTCTAATATGGAAATAATTATCATTGCTAATGCTGGAGGTTTACAACTATATTCTTCTTCATATTGTCCATCAGTGATATCACTAGACCGTGCTATTTGAAAAGTAGTTGGTCTTTGTGGAACCATAGATTGTACATATCGTTGCACCAAGTGACCAAAAACACCTTGCATATCTTTTCTATGTATCTACAAAAAAAAATAAATTATCATAAATACTTGAAAATAATATTAATATAATAACTAATTTTTTAATTACATAAGTGAAAATATAAATAAATAATATATACAATAACTTTAAAAACATAATTGTAAATTGTAAAAAACATAAATTTAATATAATTTTAATATAATATACAATAAAATAAAAATACCATAGCTATAAATTCTGGAAAATCTAAATATCCTGAATCATCTAGATCTGCCTTACGCATAATCATATGAACAACTCTGGTTGGAATATCATTGGAATAAGAAGAACTACGTATCATAGCTCTTAATTCCTGATATGTGATTTTTCCATCCCCATCTAAATCATATTTTTCAAATATAGCTTTCCAATGCTGAAAATATCAAAATTATTGCAATATATAGAAAATCAAATTTTTTATTAGATTTATTATACATAATATTTATAAAGGTTATGACAAATATAATAAAAATTATAAATATAATTTCTTACAGAATTATTATATTGCAGTGGTATTGTTATCGCAGATTCTCCTTCTTGATTACTTCCCATTCTAATTAATTTGAAACCTCTGTAATATATAAAATGAAACAATTAATAATAAATATGATAAAACTATTAATATTTAATATTATGTATAAATTTTTATTTTAATGCTTCTAAGTATTATTATGATTATTTCAATTAAAAAAAAATTAATAAACTAATAAAAAAAATAATAAAATAAACTAATAAAGAATTAAATAATGTGAATTAATTTATCTTTGTTAAAATTAATAACAAAAATACACATTAAATTTCACATGTATACATAAAGAATTAAATATATTGTACCTGTATTTGATTAATCACTAATTGCACGCTAAATATATAAACTATAAACGATACAAGTAACATCTACTTAATACACGTGCAACACACAATCTATGAAATTGTTTCTTCGTTTAATCATTATGAGTAGATTCGTAATTAATTTTTCTTTAGCATTATTCATACAAATGATACATATTTATTTTATCTTATCAGATCGATTATCCGGAAAATTGACACAGAAACCTTGCGTAGTGAACGATTGACAGATATACAGTTGAATATGTATTTTATATCCGCGTGATTTATAATTGTATATTGGCATGTTTCATTTATTTGAAAAATACCAATGACCTTAATACCTGTACACGAGATCAAATAAATTTTAATCAGCAATGCAAGATAAATTAAATTATCTTCAAATAAAATTGCCCATTACTCTGATCAGTTATAGTATGAAGCCAGATCCGTATTATCAGCTACAAATTACGACAGGACACGTTCGAAAAGACTTTATAGCTGAAGGTAGTTAGCGTCGCAACAGGTGAACTCGACGACCAAGTACATTACACGAATAGAAAGTGCCACAAGATATAGTATAGTAGAATGTAATAATTATTTTGTTATAGATTATTGACATGTTTTTTCAGCTTTATTTTTACCTATTATTATCATGTTTTATATCTCTCTATGTTGATTTAATATAAAAAATATTGGAGATAAAATAATTATTTTTGTTTGATTAAAATATATGTAATTTATAATATATATAATATATAAGTTATAATTTAATATATATATATATATATATATATAAAACATAAAAATGAATAAGATTAATGAACATAAATATTTATTTTTAAACAATGAAAATATAATAGTAAAAAATTACAATTCACGTGCACCGGCATATTAACGAATATGTGTACATTTAACTTGATGATTCATTCAATTTTCTTTAGTGAATCATAATATCTGTATAATACTTTAGATAGTTACGATACTTCGTCTTGCTTTCAATAATAAAATATCAATGAAGTTCAATGCAATATTTGATATTGATATATAAGTATTTAAAATATAATTAATAAAATATAATTCGGCATATTTATCGTCAAAATTTAAAATAATATTTATAAAATATTATAATACTTATAGAATTTTGTATAAAATATATCAATTTAATAATTCTTATAAAGTAATCAAAAATTTCATTTTTTATCAAAAATTACACGAAAGATTTAATTATTCATCTATAAAATTATATATTATCTACATTATTCATATCATTAAAAATTATAAAAATTATTTACATAACATACAAAAATATGTTCAATTTTGAAAATAATAACTTAAATTTGCATATTTTATTTCAAATAATAATAATTATCATAATATATATTATTCAAATAATAGAATTAAGATTTTTTTAATCAATAAATAAGAAAAAAAAACAATAAAATTAATCAAATATCGAAGCTTTATATTCTATTCATGTTCTTGGATTTTTTTAAGAATTTTTAAGAAATTTTGAAGAACAAATATAAACAAGAACAGTAAATATTGAAAGAATAGAAATAGAATCAAAATTCGAAAATCAGCGTCATCTTTAGAGTACCGCAAATGAAATAGGTAAAGAAAAGATAGAAAATAATAAAAAGAAAGATAGAGATAGAATTGACTTTCAGCGTCATCTTTTGTGTAACAAAAACATTTCTCTAGAATTATTTTTCTATAAATACTCAAGAGATGGCGTTGATTTTCAATTCTTATTTTATCCTTTTTATATAATATATAAATATGTTTCATATATTATATAATGTGTGTGTTTTGATGACATCGCTCAGCGATAATAATGAGATTTAAATAAATAAAAATTTATCCCAATAACAAAAAAAATCTATGCTGAAAAATTATTTATCGAATCACTTTTTTTTTGTATTTTATAAAACATTCTTAACATATAATTAACTATCTAAATATTATTATCGAATAAAAAATAGGAACTTAATATTATTATATTTTATAATGTTATTGTTTTAAAGTTTGTTTGAAAGATTACAGACAAAATGTCAATTCACAAATTATTTTTATAATTTGACATTTAAAATGTATATACAACAACACAAAATCATATGTTATAAATATTATTTCAGGAAATTTAAAAATTTTTTAAAAAATATAATTTTATTTTTGGAAATATAGTTTACAATTAATTTTTATTATAGAAATAATTTATAATACAATATCATATTATAATTAATTCGAAATAGACATTTCGATTCTAAAATAAATTATAAAAATTAAATTAAATGAAAAATATATTATAATATACATAATTGTAAAAATAAAAGTTCATTATTTTTTTTTAATACAAGAAGAATGTTTTACACGCATATTTATATATTATTTATATATACATATTTGCAAAGGATGCCTATGAAATATTACTGTTTTTATTACGTTATTATACGTCTTAAAAAGCTGACTCAACAGGATATAAGGATCTTATAACTATATTAATTCTATGTCAAAAGCAAGTTGCTACAATCATACATAAAAATATAAAAACGAATATAAAATGCAGGTGTATGTATGCTCAACACCTGTTACTAGGCAACAGAAAAATCGATAAATACATTCGTCCAACGATTGTCGATAGTTTTCTTCAGTTACTCTTTTTAACCGATACTCAAATGTACTTTCTTTTGAATCAACAATTCAAATGATCGATATATTCGATATTAAAAGAAATGGCAAATAAAATACGAAAGCAAAAAATAGCTGCCAATTACAAAGTTAAAGAACCTATAAGCAACTTTAAAATAAGGTAATATTTCAAAATTTCTAATAACAAATTTAATGAGTAACGCATAAAAAAAATTTGATAAATTTCAAAAATTACAATTTGTGATATTATTCCTTTTTCTATTTATTCTTATATACTGCTGAACTATATAATTAACTTCAATTGTTGAAATGATCATTATAATGTGAAATAACGCAATTGTTTTGCCGCCGAAAACAGATATGACGATAGAATTAGATCTCAGCCATCTGGCAGAAATTGTTTCTACCTTGTAAATTGTATTTATCTTCTGCGTTTATTATTTCAGAGTCAAAATCGTACAGCAAAGGCCTTTGCTTGCAGAACTCTTAGAAAATGAAGGGGATACCAGAGACTCAAATTTTCTTGAAGAAGAAGATCGTATTTTTAACTGGCAAGAAAAAGTATTCAGTCCGTTCGAAGTGAGTTTTTATAGCAACGAGACAAATTGTTTAACTGAATCTCAAAAAGCATATTATCAAGAAATCAAAGAAAAAAATATCGAAGGTTCTCGACTTTATACCTATACGCAAAATGATTCTTATTATTTAAATGATGACTTATTAACGAAACCTTATAAGACAAAGCTAGCGATCAGAAATCAAACTGCATTACCGGTTTTGCAAAACCGCAAACCCTTTTCTGAAAGATACAATAAAATGGTTATAGATAATATACCTGATGAAACTAGGATTCGAACGAATCACTATCTTTATATGGATAATTCTACAATGTATGTCATGGTTGACTTATCTCAACAAGATAAAATCTTAACAAGTTCTGATGAGGATACGGAAATAGTGTTATTTGTTATTACGTACGATCGATTGCACAAAATTTTAACAGTAAATCCTGATTTTACGGACGATTATTATTACGTTATCACGAATTCCAGTGGAATTCAATTTAATTATTGGCTCGAACATGTTTCTGAGAAACAGTCATCGTTGGAATTACAACAACAACAAAGCGAAACGCAACGAGTAAGCATGTATATTATATTATAAAATACATGTTTAAGTTATAAACCGTTCTTGTTATAAACCGGTTTTAGGATATTTCCATCTTATTTTTTTGCATTATATATTTAAATACATTTTTTAATATATTTCAAATAAAAAATATAAATGTTACCATATTTTTATTTTTTTTTTAAATTGCATATCAAATAATTACAATTAAATTATATATTACAATTTAAAATTTAATTAACTAATTTTTTAAAATTATTTTTATGAGGAATTATTTACATATTACGCAATCTTATTAAAATATAACGAAATATATACATACCCAACATAGGAGATTTCAGAAATTTGTCTCATCATTCTTTGTGGATAAAACATAATTCTTAAATTTAATAAAAAGTTGTCACTATTATTAATAATTTTTCATAATTAAACATGTGTTTCACGAAACTGATTTTAATTGTTTTATTTTGCACTTGGTTAGAATACATTTATAAGATGTAATTATTTTCATATTTAATTGTATATTTTCGACCATGTTATTATAGTGTAATCAAGATTTATCAGTTATTTAAAATACATCTAATATATGAGAATGAAGTATATTAAACCGTGGTCTGAAATCCGACTGAATCCTATGGCACTGAATAGCTGCTTGAACACGTTTACACTTATATTGTCTGTCTACATATATACACAAACCCACTTATATATCTTTCTGTTTATACATATATGATGGAGCAATACTGTCATTTAAACGGAAAAGTAACTTTCATACAATTTCGTAGTATTGCGATTGTATAATCTACTTCTATATATTTTCATGTTATATGTTATACAAAAATTTTTTTTTACTGATAAAATTAAATAAAAATATATTTGATGCTAAAAATATTATAATTGAAGTATTCATTACTTTAGTTTAATCTTTATAATATGTCTATAACTACAAGTATAAAATTATTAAATATTATTTTAATTTTTATATTTTATAGGAAATTAAAGAACAACTGATACACAAAGAAGCAGAAATATTTCGAGGCATGCAATTAGTATTACCAAATGTATATAAATATTTTATAAAATTAGATATTTTATCAGCTCATGATTTCTTTTTTGATGGGCTTTGTATTTCTTATCATGTTTATTTGCCAGAACATTGGAGTACAAATCAAAGTGATAGTTTATTTGGAAGAACTCAAAGATGTAATTTAAAGAATAATTCAGCATATTTTAGTTATGCCTCACAAATATCATTAGAATTTCAATCAACCACTGAGCTTGATATGAATAATCTATCATCTTGGCCTCGATTCTTATTATCAGTTACATCACTTGATAGTTGGTTTAGGTAAATCAATTAAACATTTTTATATTTTAAATAAAAATAATAAAAAAAAAATTAAGTTTAATTCAATAATTAAAAATTTCAGATATCGTACAGAAGGTTATGCAGCTATACTTTTGCCTGTACTGCCTGGTTTATATAAATTCAATATTCCTACTTGGCGACCATCAGGAAGTATTATTAATTCTCTTAGAAGATTTTTCACAGGTGGTACTTATGAACTAGAAGATATAACTTTCTGTAGTATTCCCAAAGGACATGAAGATAAAATATTAAATAAATCACAATTAAATGTTACATCAAGTGGTTATATAAAATTAAAAATGAATATCATTCATCAAACTCATAATTCAATTAAAAATAATCATCAATTAGATCATTTTCAAAAACTGAGTACAGATAAACTTATGTCTAATATAGACAATATTTTTGAACAATTTAAAGCAGCCAGAGAACGTATGTTACAAATTCGAAATTTAAATATTTAATTATTATAATTAAATATTTAATTATTTAAACTTAAATAATCAATAACTATAAAAAAATTACATTTAAAATAATCTGTGATATATTGTAAATAATAATAAATTTCAATTTATTGAAATAATAATTTATAAAATAATTAATATAATAATTAAAATATTTTAATAAAATTCTTTAATACTATCTTTATTTTTTTTTATTTATTACTATTACTTTTACTATTATTTTTTTAATACTTTTAATAATAATAATGAATTATATATAATTTTTTAATAATAAATTAAATTTATTTTTGACAAATCGAAATCTAAACAACATGACAATAATATAAGTTAACTATTATTAAATATTTTTTAAATATTTTTTAATTAATAATCTGTTCATTCATGATTACTTTACTTAAGTTATTCTATTGAATATATGGATTTTAGATAAATATCAAATTTTTAATTTCTTAATATAGAATAATAATATAAATGCAATTTTGGAATATTTATTTGTTAAACTATAAATATATTCTGTCAAATATTGATTGATATAATGTTTTTTTAACTATGTTACATTTATTATATTTAATATTTAAATTTCTTTCTAGATACTTTCTAGATACTTTTAATATTACATAAAGAAAAAATAAAATAATTATAAATAAATACATCCAAAATAATTCGTGAACAATATGTGAAATTATATATTAATATTTTATAAGAAACAAAAAGTTTCTATTATTAATATTCCTGAAAATATTTTTTTTATTTTCTTAAAATTTATTATTTTGTAATAGCCATCTAAAAACATCCTAATAAAAAAAATTATATAACATGATATTAGTATATTCAATTATGCACTAAATAACATTTTAGAATTCACTGTTATTTTTCAAATGTGGAAAGAAAAATTCGACATCTTTTTTCTAAAATATGATTAACTAAAAGACTAGAGTAAAAGTGCAAACATACATCCTATAGACTTTTCAATCATTGTCTTTTTTTTGCTGCTTTTACTGCTTTTGATTTTTGTTTTTCTCCACCAGATAAAAATGATGTTATTACCTCAGACATTTCTGGCATATTATAATTAGTGAAATTATTTAATTGTTCCATTTCCTAAGAAAAATAAAAATAATAATTATATATTTTTCATCATTATATAATAAATTTATGTATATTTTTAAATTTGTATATATTTAAATTATATGTATAATTGAAATATTTACTAACCTTTCTGGTTTCAGGATCATTCATAATTTTTGGTATAATCATAATTAACAATAATGGTAATATCATCATTAAAACCTACAAAAATTAAAAAAATATATATTTTCATTTCTTTTTCTCTTTACAAATTTATAAAATAATAATAATTAAAATAACAATTTTACCATTGGATTAAATAAAAAGTCTGTTACTCTCCATTGTTCTCTAACTTGAAAATATCGAAATGGTGTTAAAGGTCTCATTTTTAATGGATAAGGAACTTGTATTACTTGTGATGTCTGAATCAAATTAACTTTTCTTGCCCTGAACTTTCCTTTTGAGTTAATTTCTACTCTTATAGGTTCATAAACACAATTTGGGTTTACAACCTCGATTACATATGATCCTGATGGTACATTAGAAATGACAAATGTTCCATCTTCTCTATAAATGTTAAATGCAAAGTAAAAATTATTTAAAAATTATTAACATTTCTCATATTCCTAACCTATATGAAGTTTTAAAAAATAATTATTTTATATTATTTCTATGTCTTTGATTAATTGATTACTTTTTTATGTATAAATAATATTTTTAATCTTTAGCATTTTGAAAATATTTAATGCATATTTACCTTAAGAAACCATAGTGTTCTCCACCATTAGCCATGACATGGGTCATTAATTGCCAGCCACTTGGAGCTCCATTTTCCCATGGAAAAACTTTTCCTTCGATAACATATAAATCTGTCGATACGTCTTCATCATTTTCGGCAATTACATATTTATTGGAAATGTTGACAATAATAAAAAGTAGAAAAATAAAACTTTTATACATAATCATATTGGATGAGCTTCCACATACAAGAAGTTTAATGTTAAATGTCTAAATATTGCCAGTATAGTAAACTATAGATAATTTTCACTAAATAATAAATTTTTAAAAATTATTCTAAATAATATTTTTAATATTCTTAAAACAGAAAATTTCATTACACATTCTAAAGATTATATTAAATATATTGAAATAAGCAATATATTTGACAAAACAGGATATAAACTATTTAAAGTTGTATATAATTTGTGTTGGTAATACTGAGGTAACTAGTGAGTACTAAGCGATTTTTCGATCTTCAAACATTGAAAGTAATGTTATTGAAGTGCGTTTGGTTGTAAATCTTCAATTAATCTAAAAATATATATTTATATTATTGAAGAAATTCAGAAACAATAAAAATATTAAAATGGATGACAAATTACGTCAAATGGAAGATGAAATGAACAGGTATAAGATAGTTATAAATATATTAGAATCTTTCTAACCTATTTGCACTATTCTTTTATTTTATCGTTTCTTTGTATATATTCCCTTCTTTTTACCTTGTAACTAATTATGTCATTTACGTTTTTAAAAGTATTGCATCGTTTGTAATTTACATAGTAAATTGTACTATGTGGCTCATTTATTATAAAGCAAATAAATTATTACAAGTTTAGATAAAGGTAACTGTATGATTAAAAATTTATGACTAAAATAAAAATCTTTTTAATTAATTACAAATTTAAACTTATTTTTAGGTTTGAAGCTGAAATTGGTGGTCAATTAGTTACACCAATAGTCAGGCCTGTTATTGGTGCAAATACATATAATCAAGTAGCTAGACAGTTAGAACAACACGAACTTCCAACACCAGTTGTTGCTGCTGCTGCAGCTAGTTTAGCTTTTCCTCCAATGATTGGATTTCCACCTCCACCTCCACCACCACCGCCACCACCTCCACCACCACCAATGCTAATTCCTCAACAAGTAGCAAGACAAGGTTAGTGATTACAAAATATTTTATATATTATAAAACTTCTATTAATAATAAATAAAATATTTTTATTTATCAATAAAATATTATTTCGTATAGGTACGGTTCCTTCTATTACAACATATTCATCACCTGCACAGATAAGTAATCCATATTTACCAAATATGGTGGATCCGTGTTTAAGTGCTACTCCAAAAACTTATGAATCTACATCAGCACCAATGATTCATCCAGAAATTATTGAACAGATTATCAATACAAAGATCCCTGAAGATGACAGCAAAAAGAAACCCAAGGTAAAAGGAGTTAGTACTGCAGCAGAATTAGCAATTAGTCAAGGAAAAGCAAGTTCTATCATGGCTAATGCTAGTGCAGAAGAAACTCATCCAAAAGGTAAAGGGAAAAAAAATAAAAAAATTGTACGAATGGCTGGTGGACAAATATGGGAAGATCCTTCTTTGCTTGAATGGGATGAAGGTTAATTATTTATTTATATCTGTACTGTTCATATAATTTATTTTTAAATATATCTTACAATTTTTTTTTTATATTATAGATGATTTCAGAATATTTTGCGGAGATTTAGGAAATGATGTCACAGACGAAATGCTAGTAAGAGTTTTTGGAAAATATCCGAGTTTTCAAAAAGCAAAAGTAGTGAGAGATAAAAGAACAAACAAGACAAAAGGATTTGGATTTGTATCTTTCAAAGATCCGCAAGATTTCATCAAAGCGATGAAAGAAATGAATGGTAAGTTAATAAATAATTTTTTTATTATAATAATTTAGTTATTGATTTTATAAAAAAAAAAAATAAATCATAATTTTATATGTAATGAAATAGAATAAGATTTTTTAAAAAGAAAGTTTGATAAATGTATTAATATATCATGATTTTCTAAATACTATATAATAATTATTCATAATTAATAAAATGAAAGAAATTTTTGATATATTAAAAATATTGAAAAATACTTAAATATTTACAGATAATGTTATTATTGTTTGTGAATACCTTAAAATTTAGAATTGCAATCATGAATGTATTAAAATATAACACTTATTTAAAACTATAAATAATTAAATATTTCATATACCACAATTATGAGATCAGTATTCCTTTTGAACAGTCATATTTTAAGTAGTGAATTCTTATCATTTGCCAAATGGACCCCATCCATATGATATAAAAAGTTGTGGTATTATCGAGTATTGTCTTCGAGTACTTCCGTTACGTACTGCAATGCGAGAATTGGAGTGCATTGTAGCTGGTGTCGTAATTTCAATTTTTCCTTGTTCTTGTTGTTGAACAGTACCTTAACATATATATATACCATGTGTATTTATATGTCTACATAATAATATATTATTATTTTCTTTCTCGTTTAATGTTTTCTTACTGGCATGATTTCCACGAGAACCATGTGATTTCATATAAAGAACGGAAAAGGGCATGCCACCGGCACTCCAACTACGAGACATAACAACATCCTTCTTCGATAGTCTATTTCCAATTTTGGTACCAAATGTTGAAGTTTGATAAAACTTATTTAATGGCGCAGAAGTATCATCCCATGTCTCTATTATTGTATTTGGATCTAAGTTTGAAGCTTGTCGTTGAATATTAATTCTACAATCCATAACAATATCATTTTTTAGCATATACGGAACAATATGAAAATTGAAAGATTAAAAAGTATATAAGAATTATACTTCGACATGGATAAATTTTCAGGTATAGTAGGAATATCTTTTTGAACTTCTTGCATTGGTAACCATTCCGAACATTTTCCATTCGTAGAACACTCTGATGTGACTATGGTATTCAATTCATTTTTTTCCAACGCATTCTTTAAATCAAGTAATGGTACTGCTTGACATATTATCCATAATATATTCAATATGAAGACAAAGATGATTGCAGCGAACATTTTTTTTCTTTTTTATGTTTCAAATGTATTTTTTCGGTCGATATATTATTTCTCGTGTTCGTTTTTAATGTTTTCACTTCCGTGAAACAATTCGTTAATGTAGATACAGCGGTGTGTCGTTTTCTTTGTCGAATTCTGA